ATGCCAGGCTTAGAGAAAGGCCAGTGTTAAGAATTGCAAGGTATCTTTATTTTTAAGGTACAGTGTGGGGACAGCCAACTGCTGTGCTCTTGGGGAAATCGCCATGTCTTGTGTTCCGCTGTTCAAATCGCAACCGGAGACCTGTGTCCAGGCCGTTTGCTGGCTACAACAGAAGCTGCAAGCTGCTGTCACTATTAAATTTGGCTTCTTTCCCAGCTTTAACCTGAAGGATATCCCCTCTGGGCTGGGCAGTGAGTCGAGGCTGGACCGCAGCAAAGGAGAAAGCCGCACAGAAAATATCCTCATGGATTCCTCCTCCACCCTGATCAACAACGAGGGTAATGTTCCTGGGGCGGTCCTGTGGCTCTTCCCTCCTCGGCTGGCTGTCGATGGCCCTGATACAGGATAAACTGGTAAATTTATCCTGTAAACTGGGACAACTGGGCGTGCTGCAGCCCCCAGGTGAAGCACGCAGAGCCCCGGGGTGCTGCAGAAGGACAGTTCACCACCCCCCCAGCGGTGGCTGCGGGTGCCAGGGACGTGACTGTGGTGGGGAGCGGAGCCGTCTGGCTCGGGCACAGCATGGCACGCTGGGGCAGGACGTGGGCGATGTGGATCCAACCGTGTGTCCGAGAGGGGTGAGCTGATTTCTCTCTCCCTTGGCACGCAGACAACGAGGAGACAGAGGGCAGCGACGTCCCTGCAGACTATCTGCTGGGAGACGTGGAAGCGGATGAGGACGACCTGTACATGATGGACCACGAGAACCCGCACGGTGAGCGCGTGGCTGATGCTGGGAGGTGTTGCCTCTCCCAGACACGCGTCTGGATTTTCTCCTGGCCTTCCCTACTCGTTCCTGATCGGATATCTCTCCTCGCAGCTGAAGAACAGGAATACAGCCTTCCCCAAGAAGCCTTCCCCCTGCGCCACGAAATCGTGGACAACCCATCGGCCTTGGACCACCTGCAAGACAAGGCTGACTCCCCTCACGTCAGCGGCAACGAGGCTGAGACGGTGTCGCTGACACCCGTGGAGTCCTTCTCCCTCATCTCCATCTCCCACTCACTCTACGAGAACCGCCTGCCCTCCGACTTCTTCAATCCCATCGTGCGGGACACGCTCCTCTTCTACGCCGAGCAGGGAGACGTGCAGATGGCCGTGTCCGTCCTCATCGTGCTGGGAGACCGCATCCGCAAGGAGATCGATGAGCAGACCCAGGTGAGACCCTGGGAAGCCCCTTCCTGGCTCTGTAGGAACTGAACCCTCCCACGAGATGCAGGAGGATGCCTCGGCGGGCCCTGGAGGTGGTGTGTCCCAGCGCAGTGGGATCCCGCCTGGGCTCGGGGCCCAGCAGAGCGCTTCCCCTGCTGCAGGGATCTTGGCTTTAGAGCGTGGGGCTGGGGTCCCAGGGGGGAATTTTGGGGGGGCTGTCGGGGTTCAGCTGTCTGTGGCCGTCCCCAGGAGCACTGGTACACGTCCTACATTGACCTGCTGCAGCGCTTCCAGCTCTGGAACATCTCCAACGAGGTGATCAAGCTGAGCACGTGCCGTGCCATCAACTGCCTCAACCAGGCCTCCACCACCCTGCACGTCAACTGCAGCAACTGCAAGCGGCCCATGAGCAACCGGGGCTGGATCTGCGACCGGTGAGGGCAGGGAGGACGGGGGCCGCGCTCCGCTCCCCGAGGGGAGCCCCGGAGGGGCAGCGGGATGGGGTCGGTGCCCCCCTGCTCCCCGCCCTTGCGGTGGGGGGGGGGTTG